TTGCTGTGTTTTCACTGTGATACAACAAAATGTACAAGAGGATACAATGTCATAGTGATCTAAGATATATTGAGCTACACAATTTCAGGATAAATAAGTCTAATTGGACACAAAGTACCTGGTGGTGGAATTAAGGAAAAAAGAATGATGAATTTTTAAATACTTTTGCATACCAGTGACAGAATTTATGAGTGTCAAGTTGTTGGTCACTAATCAAATACACACACGTACATATATACCTATATTTATATAGAGATATAGATATATAGTGACTATGCACCACTGAAACAGCTGTATAAGTCAGTGGCTCACTAACTTTAGAGTCCATATTCGTTTATTTTTTCACAGTATAAAACCAAATTATTTGCATGAAATGTCCTATTAAGTTATGCTTTTTATGTTGTGTATTGGGGGGATTGAGGGGCTTCTTTTTTGCTTAGCATGCTTCATCTTAAGGCTTTAGTTAAGATTAGATAAGAGAGTAAAATCACAGTGTTGGGAGATCAGTAAAAACGGTTGCAAATAGTTATCAGTCTTTTAGCCTTGAAGTGTCCTAAAGAGGAAATTCCCTTTGAATAGATGTTGTCCTGAAGATATTATCCATAGAAAACAATACTCAGAGTTCAGAAAAGTGCCTTCTCTTATTCAAAGCACAGTGATTCGCTTTCTGACATTTAAGTGGTCCTGTATCTTCTAGAGAAGAAAACAGTAGTTTATTAACCTGAAGATTAAAATTGAAAGATAAATGTCTGGTTATATCAAAATAGTCTGAGAGATGGAAATTAAGACTCAAAAAAAAAATAAATCAAAAAACAAGAGAAAAAGGTCTGAGAAAGCATGTGATTGGTATTTTTAAAATATTGGTCAATATCACTGAGAAGTAGTAAACTCATTATTTTCAATAGATACAGTATAAAGAGGTTTGAAATTCCATCTTCATGTTAGAAAATATAACAACATCCAAGCAGTATTTTTTGTCAGTCAGATCAGAGCACTTAAAGCTCATAGGGTAAACAGTAACTCTTTCATTCTGACTACCAGGAATTGATTTTTTTGTGTGTGATTTAAGCTAAAATATTTTTTTCCAGTAATGTTTTTGCAACATAATAATAATGGACTACAATTTTCTAATTTAGTGCAAACAGATCAAATTAAATTAAAGGCCCCCTGATTTATCCAGCAACAACAACAAACTCACACATCCACATGTGGTTGTCCTTTAGCAAGCATTCTTGTACTTAATGTCATACATTTGACTCTAAAACCTGCAAATATAAAATCAGAAGGCTTTTCAAAGTGTCTAGGAATTAAAGTGTTTATGTATAAGCATGTAGTGAGCAGTAATATGGACAAACACTTTAGATTTGCAAAAAGAGAACCACTAGGTCAGCCATTATTTTCAAAGTTATCTAGCATAGGTATCCACAGAATTGCCTCCAAAATCAAGTATTTTATACACCCATTTATATGACAAACCACCTCTCTGCCATTCTGTTTCAATTAAGCTATCAGAGGTAAATATAGTAGCATAGTATATCATGAGAAAACTCTGACCCTGTAGTTACTCTTCTACATAATTGAAAGTGTCCAGTCCTGCTGACATGTTGAGAAGTCCACATGTCGACTGGATGGATGAAGAGTAAGTTACTTTGTGACTGTGTGTGCTGTACAAAGAATAGTTGTTTATTGGAATTGAAGAACTTCATAATTCACAGCTGTGAGCCTCAGATCTGTAACATATTAATTAGTCTTTCAGTAGTGTTTGGTCAGAAGTCCTTTGATAAATGTGCAGAGCAGCACACATGAATTTCGAAGTCCTGAGGATGGACTAATATTTAAAGCTTTTGTAGAGGTATGAATTTGCTTTATGCAATCAGGTTCTTATTTTTTTTAAAGACTGTATGTTTCAACTCTTATCAGACATTTAGACACATCCTTAGAATGGTGAGTTAGCTTTCCCTGTCAAGCAGGAAAAATAAGTTTTACTGGTGTTAAATTTCAAATTTGCTCTGAAATAAGGTAATTAATTAAAAATAAGTATGTAATTTGTTCCAATTACCCTGAAAAATTACAATCTTTAACAAAATTAATCTTAGAATTTCCCATATCACAGTCCCAGAGTGCTGATATAGCTATCGTTTAAAACGCGGCATCCTTTCTGTATATCAAATCATTTGTGCTAAAAACCAGCCAAGTTTAGTTAATCAATGATCATCCATACCAAGTTTATAATTAAAGAAATATTAACTACCATGATGAATATATCTTGTAGCAGAAATCTAATCCTATTTTCCATTCATGTCATTAGCTTTGGTATTTAGGTGGTATTGTTTTATGTTTATTACTTGTGTCCCTCTCAATTTTTTTCTTTAGGGGGTCCCCTTGAAACCTAAATATTTATACTTTTCCAATTCTTAATTTGGTGTTAAAAGAGGGAGAGAGAAAAGTGCACTTGTCATGTCCAAAAAGGGGCTTAAGAAGTTTTGCATTCTTTTGCATTATATTTGCATTACTTTACATTCCCAGGTGTAAAGTCTTACAAGAAACTGACTTTCTTATAGATGTTCCTCAGGTCTTCAAATTACAGAAAAAAAAAGAAGATGAACAGATAGAGATGGCCCAGACTGCCTAAATTTTTTAGCATTAATTTCAGGAACTTACTATCAAATTTCATGTTATCACCCGAGTATCCTCAGCTCCTACTCAAGATACTTAGATATGACTGCACAGCACTGCCTAGTGAAGTTTTGAACTGGCAAAGTTGCACTGGACAAAAAAAAAAAAAATGAACTTGAGGAGGCATTCTTGCCTTATCAAACCTTTGTACAGAACAATAATTTACAGAGTTATTGTTTATGTTGCCATAGGGTTGAGTTATCATATTCCCTAAATCTCTTATCTGTTCTGAAAATATCAAGACTACATATCACCACATATGTAAAACAGAAATGCAGAGACTGAAATTGGTTTGTATGACAGATCTGAATTGTATCTTGAACTTGGTTATAAATATAATCCAAAGGTGAATTATGTTCAATATATGCATACAAATCTCCTACATGAATGCCCAGTCATACCATACCAAAATCAATTTCTGCTGCTACACACTATTGTGGATAAACAGTACAAAATCTGGCCTGCAGAAGGTCTTCATCATCCTTTGTAAAAACTCGAGGCCTAATTTTTCATACACTAGTCCTCAGCCATATCATGGTTTATTCCCACAATACCCCTGAAACTCATCCTTCAGCATCAGCCACCGCTGAAATCGTTCACTAAAAGTTCTGTGTTCTGATAGCACATTGCCAGTGGTCATCCCACCATTGAATCCTCACCCAAGTCATGTTGAGTCACAAAACATAGATCTAATGGAATCTGCACCATCCCCCTGAAACTGATCTGTAGGCATCATCTGAGGTGCAACCAGCCTGCATCACTAGCATAGTTGAAATCATTCATGCTTTAGCAATGTACACTAATTATGGTACTGTAGCTGTAAGAACGATCCTCATATATATTTCCTTTTAATTTCTTACTGTTAGTTTTACTTGGTTGCTCTCACCCACCTGTTTTATCAGTATATTAGAGGGATACTTGCAGTGGTGGAAAGAGCTGTTTCCATGTTAAGTGATTCCTGCTAAGCCGCTTAAGTCCTGAGTGGACTTAAGGGCCTCCTTAAGGACTGTGGCCTTCCTTATTTTTATATTGTGCTGTATAGGATCCATGCATGTATTGGACACCAGGCATCTTCCAAAAGAAAAGGCTTGTTTGGAAAAAAGATTAATATGCAATTATGATGAAAGCTGAGGCAGAAAGGATATAGAATTACATAAACTGGGATAGAAAAGCTACTTCTTTTGGCTAGAAATGCAATGTGGCTGTCCTGCTTCTAAAGCAAACTCAGGGTTGATTTATAAAACACTGATAGCATTATAAGGAAAAACCTTAATCTGTAAAGATAAAGAATTGCAAAGAGATTGCATGGTGAACTTCCTCTAGATGAGTAGTCTAACCACTTAGCAGGGTTGGCTTATTGAATTAATATATTGAAAATAAATTATTTAGCCATTACGATAAAAGTGGGAAAATCAGCTTTTACATTCCCAGATTGAAGTGTCAGTCATCTCATGTTAAATTTTATTTTTCCTCAAAGAAGAAATTTGGTTTTCTTGTATGGAAAGCATTTTTTAGAAAAGCAAGATAGCATAAAAAATTGGCAATGCCTAAGAAAGATTAGCTTAATGGGATTATTTTTAAGCTTTTTGTTTTCTCTCACGTTGTTCTGTACATAAGGGAGATTAGTGATCTGCTTCTCTCCAGTTAAAATAATCTGAGTAATCAAAATGTTTTCATCTTTGTAATATTTTAAAAAGGCAGTTTTCCTGATGCTTTACATAGAACTATTTTAGACTTTTTCCATTTTGATAATTTGTGCATCTTTTATTGTAAATGATGTCAATTAAATGTAAATATTTAAGAAAAATAATATCATCTGCCAAATATAGGTTCGTGTAAATGTACATGCTTTGCTTCTGGAGCTACTATAATTGTTTAGCTAAATTGCATGCAGGTTTTAGGCATATAATCAGGCTATCTTTCGAATCCACACTTCACATGGATTTCTAGCAATTTAATGCAATTTAATTAATACTGCAAATTATGGCTTCCTTGAAATAGGTTTGTCATGCAAATAGTCCCTTTTCAGTACAGTAAGGCTGTCAGAAGAAGGTAGGATTGGCTTCAATGTAATTTTTATTGAATTGTGTTATGTCAGACAGTAGTTCCTCAAAAAGATCTTTTCCTTCACTGTAATACTTCCCAAATTCAAGTCTTTGGGAAAGTGGACTGCAGTTAACCTTAAACTTCAAAAAAACTTCCAAATATAGCCATAAGTTTTTTGTGACATCCTTCAGTAACCTCTGTTGAGTTGTTCTTTTCTTATCAGTGAAATATTTATTGCTTCATCTTCTTTTAAAGTTTTCTCTTTCTTTTGACCACAGGCAACGGTCTGGGAATCCGAGTTGTAGGTGGGAAAGAAATTCCAGGAAGCAGTGGGGAAATTGGAGCTTACATTGCCAAGGTCTTGCCTGGGGGCAATGCAGAGCAGACAGGGAAGCTGATAGAAGGTAAGACAAATGCATGATTAAAAAAAATTGAACCAAGAGAGCACTGCTACTTCAGTAGAGTTATTTATAATATACATTTTCTCTTGCACAAGATGTGTGATCTTGTGCACAGAGCGAGGGGCACCCAAGAGCCCCTCTAACCTCTATGAATCTTAAAGGAGACAAGGGCTGATAGAAGGTCATTTTATGATTTCTGTAGCCAATGAGAATTGCCATGATGAGCCATATTATGGCATGTCTTTGGTAATATGTGCCAACATGCTGTCTGCATTAGGTGTAAGATAATATGTCAAGAGTCCAGCTGTACATCATAGACATACACCATCAGTGTATATTTGTGGACATGCTGTTTTGGAGATCTTTAATATGGCTTAATCATCTAGGTATCTATGTTTGGGATTACTTACATTTCTTCGTCACACAGGTAAAATAGATGAGAGATCCAGTTGTCTCTGTGACATGCACTAACTTTTTTGGAATTTCCCTAAAGTCAGACTTCACTGAATTTATCTGACCTCATTTTAGTTTAAGATAGTCATACAACCTGCTGCAACAGGCAACAAAGAAAAAGAAACATCTACAGAAGGACAATTATTTAGTCTACCACAGACTTCTTTTTCAAGAACTTGGAGTGTCTTTCTCATTTAAATGACTTTAAGAAGACTGCATTAGACTACATATCATCCTTTAGGCAACGAAAGCTAGTTGAAATTTATTTGACTTAGTTATAGTTATATAGTAATGTTTAATAACAATGTTTTTCTCTATCTGCGATCACATAAATGGCCCCTTACCTGTATTTTCTAGGTCCTTTTCTCATATGTATATCTGTATGCACCTGAAATGTCAGTTTATCCATGGACAGAAATATAATACATTTGTTTCTAATTCACTCAACTAATAATCTTTATTTCTTTAATAAAAGCAGATGTTGAGAAAAAAAATAACAAAAGAAATAAGATAAGCAGGAAGAATAGTTCTTCAAGGCAGAATTCAATTCACATTAAATTCTTTGAATAGTAAGCATGCAATAAAAGTCACAATTAAGTCAAAAGTACTTTGCAGATAGAAAAGCTTAACAAATTGGTTAAAGAATGTATTCAAAACTAATAGTTTAAATATGTCGTGGGCATTACAAAACAGTGTCACCTGCTTTCACCCTGCTGTTTTTTACATCCTTGGTGGTTTCTTTGTCAATATTTTAATGATAGACATAAAGAAGGTGTACATACACTAATTTCAATGGAATGATGTATCAACAAAAATGTCTTAATTTTTGCCTTTTCAAGTTGATTCTGCCTTTTGTATTTTACGGCTGGTATCTCACTCATCAAATGATAGAATAGTATTATTTGTTGCACATGAATGATTAAATAATTGACCTTAATTTAGTGTGTTCTGAAGCAAGTATTCATTTTAGCTCCCTCCATACAAAACAGTGTGTCTTTCATAACTATCCTAGATCATGCATGCATCGTTTCAGTACCAGCAGGTAAATAGGAGAATGTGGCTATTCAACATTTCCCCAAGACTGGATATTCAAGAAAGAGGATGAGCAGTTACTGCCTGGATTATCTCTGGTCTTTTGGTTTCTGTTCTCAGGACCTTCTCTGGAAACTGAGGTTTAATGAGATCTTCACTTAATATATATTTTAGCAGTGATCAACATCTTGGATTTACAATAGCTACAGGAAAAGTTCAGACATGGCAGTTTGCTTTTCTATCTGTTCACATAAAGTATTTTGAAGGTTTATTCATATTTTCTAGAAAGATGAACGGAACAGTAAACTATTTATTCCTATCTTTCATTCTCACAGCCTATGATCACTCCTGTTTCTGATCTGATTTTTATAAAAATATCCTTGATTTGGGTGTGTTGTCATAAATCATCTCCATCAAAATCATTATACCCTACTCTGTAGAATTTGTTCACATAATGTCCCAGAATATGTTTTACTATTGATGTGTTAAGTGTACTGTCAGAGAGCAAAAATGCTTTCTGCAAATGTGCCATTACTATAGCATACAAGACAAACACTTCCCCTTGCTGTCAGTTACCTTCTCATTATATCTGTTACTTTTTATGTTTAGATGGCTATTGTAGGTCAACAAAGAATATTTGACTACTTCACTGTTCGTTTTGTTTGGTTTTTTTTAGTGGAACTATGGCTGATGCACATTTAACCTCTACCCTTCAGAAGTGCTAAAATCCACTGAATCACTCTCATATTGATCCATGGAAATCCAGCCAAACTGCTAATGCTACCAATATTGCTGATGTGTTGTTTCTGAATATAGAGGCTAGCCGTCATTTCTTTTTCAAGTTATTAGCTGTCTCTCACATCACATGAGAACACAGAAAACTTCTCCTGTAAATGATAAATGCATATTAGTAATTTTTATAGTAATCATGAGTCACTTTTTCTGCTGAAATGCTGTGTGACTTCAAGACATTCAAGTAAACGTATACTTCTGTCATTACAAGGTAATACCTTGACTCATTAGCTTTTCTAAGAACACGATTCACTGTGAAAAGTCCCATCAACTTAATTAATTCCTCTCATTCTAAAACTAGAAAACACTGGGTCAAGTATGAAAATCCTATCAGTAACATAAAGAACAAGGGTAGATTTACTGTGATTTTGAAGGAAGCCAAAGGCCTGCATGCTGGCTGCATGACTGCATATAAGAAGAAATGGTACAATTTAAGATATAGCTAGAATTCCTTTCCTTAGGGAATAGCAATCCATAAAATTATAGCTTTTTTAAATAGCTTTGGAGGAGTCTTAGTGCTGGAGTTTATAGTTCTGACCGGCAAATATCAGTCTTCTTCGTTCCTTCACCTTGAATTGCTTTCAAATGTCAAAAATATCTCTGATTCATCACTCATTGGCATTACAAAAGCTGTAGGTGGAAGACTCATTCCACTGAGCTCATCAAGTGCAGGCACTGTGTCAATTTGATAGCTGTGTCTGTGCTCCCTCTCGTGTTGACAGAAACAGTTCAGTTATGTTCCACCTGATAAATCTTGGGTGAATGGATGGCATTTCTGCCAGCTTTTTTTTTTTTTTAGAAATAGAAGAACCTAGAGTAAAAAGCAGAAATCCAATATTAATGTGTTACCAACTGTTACAAATTTGCTGCATGCCCTCAGCATTCAAGTTTTGTTATTGAAACATTTCAAGAGACTGAGTGGAGAGGCTGGGAAATGGTGAACCAGGACTGTCTTTGTTCCAAATTTTCAGTCATCCAAGCATGAGTTGCAGTGTTTGAGCCAGCAGACATTCACTGAGATGAAGAGTTCCCCTGAACTTCCAATCTCCTTGCTGTCTGGGGAGTTTGCGTAGTCTAAAAGCTAAAGGTGAACTTGATTTGTGATGATCTTACTTTTTTTACTGATACGCCACTGAAGAGCAACCATGACACTGATCAGATTTTTGCTAACCTGTCTGAAGCTTTATGGATGCATGTTTAACATGTATGCCTCATTTAAATAATACCTTTCCAAACTTAAAAATAGGAAAATCATATATACTATGATAAATGCATTGTATATAGACAAAACTTCCTATTATTAAAAATATTGAAATAGCACTCCTAGTGCCTATTTTATAGCAAATATTGCAAAGGAACATTTCTAGCATAAAATGGAAGGGTGCCCCCTATCTTGCGATTCACAGACTTTCGCTGTAGAATTTTAGTGAATAAACAGTCCATGCCAGCAAAGAGACATGCTATTCAGTTAAATTCAGTTGAATTTTGCATGTTCTATTTTAAAATATTCATCATACAGGGATTTTTTAAGCTTCCCCATCCTGAAGCTGTCCAATAGTATAAGAAAAACTACCTTGTGAGTACAGACAATGAAAGAAAATTGCCACCATGTTAAAGCTGTTTAGGTCAGAGAAAATACACTGCCATTTGAGAGTTCTGCAGTAGTTAATGGTTCCCTGCATGTCAGTCCAGTCCTTAGGCACTTGTTTTGGTCTGGCTTAATAACTACTCTCCTTAAGATGCAAGAAGCATTGCTCCTCAAAACACAACGAAGGTCCTTTAAGAAGAGCCACCTGCAGCCTCTTGGCAGGATGAAGAGTAGGTAAAAGCATATCCATTGTCCTCAGCTTTAAAATCTGAAGATGACAATAAGTTCTGAAATGTACTCGGTATCTTTTAGACTTAGATTCCACTGCTAAGATGCAGATGGTCAGTTTTCCAAATTGGTTGGTTGCTTTTAACTGTGCACATGGCCAGTTCTCCTTAGCGGAGTATTTTGAATGAGTGGGTCTTTCCTAGGAATGTCAGTGCTCTCTTTCATCTTTAGAAAACTGTGCAATCTCAGAACTTTCAGATGCCTTCAGGAAATAAAGCTGAAATCTCCCTATTCCTCTTATCCTTACTTATTCAAGCTTCTTTTCCTCCTTCTATAGAAAGTCTTGCATATCTTTATATATGTATTGAAGTGTTACAATTTCCTTTTGTAAGACAACCTTTGTTGCACAGCTCACTCTCTCTCATTCATGCCCCAATATGAGGCCAAATAAACAGAATCATTCCTCAAATTGAAACTAAGAGCCTCTGAGAAGAATGCAAATAAGACTGATCAGTGGACTAGAGGAGATGGCCAATATGGGTGTATGATTAAGTGTACTTTGGTTGTCTAGTATAAGTAAAATTAATTTGGGCATAACCAATGTTGTATAGAACCTCTTGGAATACTAGGATCACTATTTAATCTGCAAAGTATTTTCTCTGTTCTGGGCAATAACATCTTTGAATACAAGCATCTTTCTTACTCCTCCAGGTAAAGGTGCCAACTAGCCAGCTTCCAGGAGCTGTTTCACCACAGCTTTGCCTCAGGGATGTTCCCTTCGTATGTTTTCAGATCAAAAGTTTTCATTCATATCTTTTCAAGTTTTTAAATTTTTGTTAGAATCATAGAATCATATAATATTTAAGGTTGGAAAGGACCTTAAGATCATCTTGTTCCAACCCCCCTGCCA